CTCAATGCAGATGGCACTATATAAACAGACAAGATAGATGACACCATCCATGTTACAAAATGAACACAAGTGGTCCTGGAGTCTGAATATTCGTATCTCCCCACAGACTCACGCAAGATAAAGATGTTAAAACCTAAAGCTGAGGTGACAGGGCTGGGGCCTCCCAGACTGAATGAATGCCCTCCATGATGAGAGGTCTTCCCATGTGAGACTGTCCTGAATGTGCCATCTATAGAGTTCTGATTCAGATGAAACACTGAGGCTGTTAGTGCCTCCTCTTGGACTTCCCAGCTTCCTGCCAGCACTGTGAGCAATACACCTGCTGTTTGTAACAACCCAGGGCGATATACTTCATCATAGCTGCCTGGATACTGACCAGTAACCTTGAATTATTACGGGAAACAGTGACAAAATTCTTTTCCAGGAGTCTTCCTAAAGTCCCGGGCTGACCTCAAAGTCATGCTCCTCCAGTCTTCTCCACCCAAGTAAAGGAAAGACAGGTGCTGGCTACCCCACCAGGCTCAACTCAATTCCTAAGATGCCACTAAAATTACACTAAGAAGTAGATAGGTGAGACTACTCCTTTGTAGGTGATTTAAAAGATTACAGAGTCAAGGATAGGACCTTAGTTCTGCAGGGGAGTGCTTGCTCAACTTATGTTCAAGGCCTTGGGCCCATCCTCTGAATTGTAACAAAAGAAAAAACCAAAAAAGATTACAGTAATAGCTGAATCATTCTGCAAGGCATTATAAATTACACTGTATCTAAACCATATATTTTCTTCTACACATACTTACCCATAATAAGATTTAACTTATAAATTAGGTACCATAAGAGATCAACAACTATTACATTGATCTAACACATGCTACAAAACCTACAAAATATGGGGCTGGAGAGATGGCTCAGTAGTTAAGAGCAATGACTGCTCTCTTCCAAAGAACTCAAGTTCAATTCCCAGCACCCACATGGTGGCTCACAACTGTCTATAACTCTAAGATCTGACACCCTCACACAGACATACATGCAGACAAAACACCAATGCACATAAAAATAATTAAAAAACTGCCGGGCGGTGGTGGCGCACGCCTTTAATCCCAGCACTCGGGAGGCAGAGGCTGGCGGATCTCTGTAAGTTAGAGGCTGGGCTAGACCAACAGCCTCCAAAACAATACAGAGAAACCCTGTCTCGTAAAAACCAAAAAAAAAGAAGAAAATGCTCAACAGCAGTGGTTCTCAAACTTCCTAACTCTATGACCCTTTAAGTTCCTCATGCTGTGCTGACCCCCAACCATAAATTTTACTGCTACTTCATAACTGTAATTTTGTTGCTGTTACAAATCATAAGTATCTGATATGCAGGAAGTCGGATATGCGACCCCCACGGTGAGAACCGCTGCTCTACAGCCCAGTCTTATGAAGACATTTTTCAGCTCCCTCCTCTCAGATGATTCTAGCCTGTGTCAAGATGACATAAAATTAGCCAGCACAGGATATTTGATCCTATTTTATAGACAAGTAGGCTTAAAGAAGTGGAGTGCCTTCCTTAGGTGTCACAGAGATAAACCAGGATCAAACCAAGGCCTTTTCAAACTCGGGAGCCCACACTCAGACCCCGCCTTCCGCTACCACTCCAGAGCCTCTAGTCTAAGGCACACATAAGAAACTAGGAGCAGAGCTGACACTCACTCACCCTGCAAACATGCTTGCTGCACAAGCATGGGGGCCTGAGCTTGATCCCCAAGAATCCACATCAAGGTGGAAGAAGAAAATTGACTCCACGATTTATCCTCTGACCTCCACATGTGCACTGTAACACTGGTATCCCACTCCCATACACACAATAGTAATCAGTCTTAAAAACATACATGATGCTACCAACAATGGACTAGGAATCTGGGCACACAGTCAACCTGCCTCCCCTTTGATTTTCATCCACAGATGAGATCTGAATAATATATATCTGAGAATGGATACATCTAAACTCTGAATTCTGATTCTCCTTGTGTTTTTAAAATGAATTAATTCAAGTCTAATTCAATTACATTAAGAAGCAAAAGCATGCGAGAAGGCCTAAAGATACCCTGGCCCCCTATTAATATCACCCGCCTATGAACAAATGGCACTCCCTCCAGCATTTAGTCATTTGTTTTTAGGTCAACTGCAGGAGTCTATATTTTGGCCTCTCCTGGTTATTAAACCACTCTTTTGCTTTACAGGCATGTCTGTCCTCTATTAAGCTAATATAAACAAAACTAGAGGGGCTGCTTCAATATCTGTTGGTTAAACAGAATAACAGACACTTAGCAACTGTTCAAAAACTACATGTTAAATAGGAGGGAAATATTTTCTCTTTATTTTACTTTTAGGGACAGGGTCTCCCAATATTAGCCGTGGCTGGCCTCAAACGTGCGGTAATCCTCCTGCCTCTGCCTCCTGACTGCTGGGATTCAGGCATGCATCACTATGCATTGCCATTTTTATTTTGCTTTAAAGCCACATTTTAGAACTCCAAAATGGATTTTTTAAAATGTCTCAAAATAAATTGTATTAGACTACCATAAATTTTTGATTACTTCAACTTTCTTACGTACAATAAAGGACACTGACCTTCCACAACACATTCACCAGGCCTACCATAAGCACTGGAGTAAAGCAGGAGCTCACAGAGGACCCAGGAACTGAGTTCAGCAAAGATTTTTACCACAGTCGGTAAAATCAAGTAAAGCCATTGGTACCTGTACCATCTAAGGAGATTCTATCCTAAAATGATTTTCCATGGCATGGCTCAAAGATGATGTTTACAAAAGCGCTCCTAACACAACAGTGCTGGAAAGAAACATCCATGAGGTGTGAGGACAACAGACTGTAAACCCAGTGGCCAGGAATTCAAGGCCAGTTTTTACTACAAGAGTTTCAAAATACAAACACACACCAACGTCAAGCAGGAGATACCTAAGGATGGTGGATAACAAATGTCAAAAATAAGATATAAAAAGAAAAGTGACAGTAAGGTAATAGTAAAGAATTCTGGGAACTTTGAAAATACGGGTATGGGAAAAAAAGACTTCAAAAGCCACTTCTACATAAAAAGAAGCAAAGGCAGCAGACATCAGGGTTACTCTGAGACACAAAGGGTATCTAGCTGCAAGTGGAAAGATAGAGAGTCAGGGTCACTGACAGTTGTGTGACAGTCACCACAAATGAAGAAATGTTCTAAAACAGAAGCCAACAGAACAAAACCTTCCTTAGACGTAAATTCTCCATCCTGTAAAGCCTTTTATAGACTTGGATCAGTGTCCTGAATGCATCCACTCACAAAAAAAAAAAAAACAGAAATCTTAATCATTTTCTACAGTAACTTATACTTGAAAACTATTTTGTGCTAAGAATTATCACAACAACCTTATGGCTGTCAGCAGAGGAAGGAGCATTATATACCACAAAATAGTCTGTGATAAGAAGTGAGGATCTCACCCTCTCAAAAGACTAATATGGAAGGAATCGTGAAATGGGTGACCAAATGTCAAATCAACAGCCACGTGATCAGATGCATAATAAACAGCATCAATGAATTATCAGAGCTAGGAGAGGCAAATGGGTTATCAATATTTTACCTTTAAATATTTTTAAATGACACTCAGTTGGTAAATTATGAAATGTTTCTTTTGGATGTCCATAATTTAAGAATAACCCAATTTTTCACTGCACAGAAGTGAGTCCAATACTAAATCAAACAAAACTTCAGGTGGGGATGGGAGAGCATGGAACTTCCCTTACAATGTACCTGTTTGATCTGTAATCACAGCATTTGGGAGGCTGAAGTAGGAGGGTAGAAAGTTCAAGACCAGCTATATTATATATACTACATAGAGAGACCCTGCCTCAAAACAATGAGAAACAACCGAAGCAAATGAATGAGGGTAGAAAAGTGCAGTCAACTGAAGGGTGACAGTTTTCTCTGTATTTTTGCAAAATGTTTCCAGCTTTCAAGCATAAGCAGGATCGCTTCATTAAAATAATCCTTCATGAAGTCATGAGGTTAAACCATCAGAGCAGGGGTGCTTTTTCCTTCCATAAATATTGTAAGCCACAAAAGGACTAAAAAGAGGTAAACCCAACAGGCCAGAAGCCGCACTTGTGTGGCCACAAATTAGTTCCTATTTCACCTTTGTGACTACAAATTAAAGTTTGCACAGCATACGGTCGGGAAGATTAAGAAACGACTAACCAAGCTAACAGTTGGAAGAAATTGCCTTGCTATGCCTCCCAGTCATTAAGAGACCCAAAGTACTTTTCAAGGCAGAGTTCGGTCGCCGCATTAATTTGAGAGCAGATGATCAACATCCAAAAGGCCAGCCTGGCCATTCCTGCGCCAAGCCCTTCGGAGGCTGGGGACCATGTCTACTCCAAGAAGGAAAGCAACTCACGTGAGGAACGGAATCCTCAAACAGCCGGGGTGACGCACTCCCAGCTTGGAAAATGGCCCCGGGTCCACCTCGCTAACAGAGGCAAGGTGGGGAGATGCACTATTGTTTCCAGATGTTTATTTTTAACTTCTGTTCGATGCCAGTTCCCCTAAGCTGGGCCCTATGGGAAGGGGGCCTCCGGCAGCGCCACTGGTGGCTCTGGGAGCAGCCGAGTTTCGGTAACAAAAACACCCCCCTTTATCTTCTTATCGCGGCGTCCGTGTACCGGCGCCTCTCTCCGGTACACCTCTGCCATCACCGCACGCAGCACCGGCGCCAGGTCCCCATGACAACCCCAGTCCCGGCACCCCGGCCTCCCGGCCCCCGCCCCGCGGCCCGCCACGCCGGCCGGTGTAGTGGCGGCCACACCTGCCCGGCTCCGCTCCTCGTCCGGCTCCGGGTCCCGCGGCCCGGCGCTACCCTCCAGGTTGGTGGCCGGGCCGGTGACGCTGCGACCCGAGACCCTCCCGGCAGGGCCTCCGCGGCAACTGCGACGCCCGACACGGGCTAGGGCCGCGGCCCTGCGCTCACCTTGAACGGATTATTGAGATCTGGATCGGCAAACGGGTTGCTGTCAAAATCCGACATCGTCCCGGCACTGCGCGTCACCCACCCGAGCCCGGCGCCGAGACACAGACGAGGCGAGGCCGCCGCCCCCCTGCGCGCTCACGTCGCCGCCGCCGCCGCCGCCGCGCAGATCCGGGTGCAGCTCGCGGGCCACCTAGCCGGCCCTGCCACTGAGCATGCCCGGTGCGGCGGCGGCCCGCGGCGCCCAGCCATCCCGCCGTCCCTTCCCGCCTGGATCTGCGCTCCGGGCTCTGCCTCCGACCGAAGAGCCAGCGCAGGCGGAGGGCAGGTTGCAGGCCCGGAGTCCCTGGGACCCACCTAGCGCGGCTTGGAGCAGGGGACGTGTTCTGAGGGGGAGGAGGATGGCGCGCGCAGGTCGCACGTGGCAGGTTGGGGAGGCAACACCTGGCCGAGGTGGAGAGACATCCGCCGCAGGTGCCAAAGACTACAGCCTCCCGAGAGCGGGGAGGGGGGTCCTAACGCAATTTAAAGCGCCCTCGCCCCCACCTGGGACGTCCAGCCAGTCCCTCCAGTCCTAGGTTACTGCTAAGTCACGGAGAGCGGCTTCGCGCTGAGGATCCGGACTTGCTCCAAGAAAAGCAAGATTCAGTGCCGGGCCCAGCCCCTGCCTCCACCATCCCTTCCTACTCGGAATCGCTGGGGGTGTTTGGAGGCGGAGCAGGTGGCAGAGTCTAGCAATCCTGGCCCTCGAGTTAATAATAGTGGGAGGGAAATTGTCGACTTTTATTTTCAGGCATTTGGATGCAGAATACACACCTCTTCGTTTTTGTCTGTTTTCTTCCCAGTGCCGGGAATGACTATCGGAAACTGTACTTGCAAATGACTGACACATTTTATCAGTCATTGCGCCACCCCGGAACTTGTTGAGAGGGCATGGCTTTCCCAAGTCTAACCTTCCCTTCCACCCTTAACAGAACGGCGCATGAACGAAGTTATGAAAACCCGGAATTCTTTTTATTGAACTGGGAGAACCTAGATTAATTATCCGTAGCTTTTTGAGAGCCTTGCACTATGCAAAGTCCCCTCGACAATAATAACTTTTCCTCGACGCGAAAGCGCGCGCACGCGCGCACACACACACACACACTTGCAGTAGTCTGGTAGAATCCAGATTGGGATGACAAAGTACCTGGTTCTAGGCAACCAACTAATTAGGAAGTAGGCACCCAACAGTGATCACAAGGTAGTAAGATGCTAGATTTAGGGGGGCGGGGCGAGCAATCTATTCCGCTCACAATCAGATTCTCAACAGCTGCCCCTTACCTGGTTCCTGACTCAGTGTTCAACACCTGTTGAAATCCAAGCTCAATTCGATAGTTACTTTGTGTTGCTGTGTGAAGGCTAAAGAATAAACATGAAATACCTTGTAAAACATGTCCTGCATGTCTTCAGAGCCAAATACTGGCTGGATGTGTGTAGACTGGAAGTTTCCTGCTCTGTGACTTGCCTGGCCTCTCCTGAACCTGACCTTAACTACTACAGCTGATTCCCATTGTTCGGACCCAGGATCCTTCCATCTGTCCCCAGATGACTCAAATATTCAGTATCTATTTTACTTATCTTCTATATTCCAAGGCAATAAGGGATCGGCTGAGCATGCGCTGCAGGATGGAAATTTCCAACTGTGCTCTTTTTAGCTAAAGATGCACTCTGTACAGAAGTCTAAGATTTCACTGCCACAGTCCCTTGGAATACCTAGGCAGCCACCCACGTCTGTAGAGCTATCCCCAAGATTTTACTTAAAGTGTCCTCAGGTAGAGGCCCTGCATCTGAGCTTTCAAAAAATTTTAAATGTCTTTATATAAATGTTATTGTATATAAATGCCTAAAACATGTTTATAACATGAATATGGGGGTTATAGTTTTGTTTCCTAATACTGTGATTTAAAAAAAAATACTCTGGTAAAATCGATCTTAATGGAAAAGGGGGTTATTTGGCTCACATTTTCAAGCTCTAGTCTATTATTTCCTGAAGTCAAGGCAGAAACTTGAAGCAGCTAGTGATCCAAATGCAGGGAACGATGTTGCCCACTGTGGGCTGGGATCTTCCCACACCCATGCATAACTGAAGCACTCCTGCACAGCATGTCCACAGGCCAAACTAATCTAGACACTCCCTCACCTAGCCCTCCTGCCAGATGTTGTGTCAGATTGATAAAGAAACTCTCACATAGATTGGGCTTGTTTTTGTTGTGGGTTTTTTTTTCACCTTTTAAAGACAAATGTGTATCTTTTAACAACCTTATATTCTCAATGTTCTTATAATAGTGTTATCTGTATTCAAATACTGTGCCTGTGACATAACCCTGGAAACATGCTGTTGCTTTTCTTTGTTTTACCCTTTTAAGCTATGGCTATCCTATTCAGCAACTGCAGCTCCACTGGCTGCAGGAGCTAGGCCAAAAGAGCCAAAGCCGGAGGGAATTTTATTCCCTCAGGCCCCAACTCTTTCAAAGCTACTATGGAAACTTATTTAAACCTCCCTCCCGCTAAAGAACTCACAATTCAAAAGTTGAGGTAGAACCCTGCTTCCCAGAGAGGCTGAATAGTAAGCAGCTCACCTCCTCCATTCTCCCAAGAAGTTCTAGTGCTCAGTCTCCCCACCCCCAACCCCTTATAAACTCTTCTCCACCTGCCTCCTCCTTACCACTTCCTGTCAGCTAGTTGCTGACCCAGCCTCCTGACCGCAAGTGATTTTTATTTACTCAAACATATCTTTGCATCATTAAACAAATGTTCCAGAACATAAACAAAAGTAACACAACTTAAATTAATATTCTACAACACATACATAGTCTCATGCTGTCTTGACTGTGGAAACAGGGTATTATCCATATTTTAATCTACCTTGTTTTCCTCACTGGTACATATACCGGGTTTCTAAGTAAGATGTGCATTGTCAAGGAGACAACCTAGGTTTTCTTTAGCATGACACAAAAATATTATCACTTTCTATTTGTACCGTCACGTTAGAGGGGGAAGGGACTCAGAAGGATGGCCTAATGGAAATCCCTCCAAATCAACTATAATATCTAGAGCATTCATTTTTAAGACTGCAAGACTTGGCATATTTCTAGCTTCTCTCATCCAGGTGATTCTGACCGTGTCATATGCTGACCGCACTTCAAGTGCACAGATGATGGTAGGCTAGTTGAGCCTGTGGGCTGTGAGGGACCTTGTTCATTCGTTTAGAGTTACAGGACACGGGAAAACCCTTAGCCTTTCTCATGACCGATGAAAGAAATGAATCTAGACAAGTTTAGTAATTCAGTGATGCCATTTAGTTTAGTAATTTAGTGATGAAGGAAGTGAATTGGAAAACGGGAAACACTCCTTTCTCTAGGATCTGCCTCCTAAATTGGGCAAGCTAAAAAACAAGAATCAAAATTGGTTTCAGGTCTCAGCTCTGCCATCAATCAGCTATTTGTGACCTTGAGCATAGCAGTACACCTTTCCCATCTGAGTTTCCAAGGCTAATTCACTACCAGTCAGCAAGTCGTCCTTTCTCTTGGCAGAGGAGGGAGTGCTTTGAGTTTCCTGAGGCCCAGTTTGGTCTCTAACTCATTTTATAACCAAGAACATCCTTGAACTCCTGAGCCTTCTGCTTCCATCCCCCAAGCGCTAGGATTACTGCTTTGCACCACCACACCCTGTTTAACAAGTATTTCTTGAATACTACTAAGAGGCAAGCAATGTTCCTTACGCTGTGGGTAACACAGTCTACCAGATAGAAGAGTAGGTTGTGTTGGAGCCAGCGAGATGGCTCAGCAGCTACAGGTACTTGCCACACAAGCCTGGCAACCTGAGTCGAGTCCCAAGAACTCACAATAAGGTGAAAGAAGAGGACCAAATCCTCAGAGTTGTTCTTAACCTCCACGTGGGTGCTGTGGCATGAGAGAAACAGAGAGAGAATGAGAATAATCAAATAAAATGAAGTCGCCCATCCCAACAAACAAACAGATAGATAGCATGCACACAATAAAGAAATAGATGTAATGATTATTTTTAAGTAGGGCATCACTGAGAGTATCCACTCAGGACAAATGGAGTGGTACTCATTTCTCTTCTTTGATCCTATTTGCATTTTCTTCCTAGATCTGAAACATCTGCCATTTAGAAATTTCTCAGATAATCGCTCCCCTTCCTTTACTTTACCTTCCACTCGAAGGTGTCCAATCACCATCTCCCATACTCCAACACCCCCACCCAAAGTCCGCCATTGTTCTACCAAAGCACATGTATACTCGTGGAGGTCAGAGGACAATCTGGGAGTTGGTCATCTTTTCCCACCATAAGGGTCCCAAGGATTAAACTCAGGTTATCAACCTTGGTGGCAGGCAAATATACCTGCTGAGTCATCTCACTGGCCCTTATTTGCAACTCTTACTAGGCCTGTAAAACCAGAGTGGTATTATTTTGAAAAGCATACATAGGCCATCTCTGTTTGACATTGCAATCAGTGTTTGTTTTGCTCACTTGTTTTATGTGTATGAATGTTTGCAAGCATGTATGTATGTGTTTGTATGTGCTTGCTGCCCATAGAGGCCAGAAAAAGTGTTGAGTCCCCTGGAACTGGAGTTAGAAATGATTGTAAGGTGTCCCTTGGGTGTTGGGAACCAAAATGGTCCTCTGCAAGAGCAGCAAGGGCTCTTAACTGTTGATCCATCTTTCCAGTTCCATTCTTCCTTCTTTGTTTGTTTGTTTGTTTGTTGAGACATAGCCCTGGCTGTCCTGAAAATCCCTATATAGACGAGGCTAGCTCAAACTCAGAGATCTGTCTGCCTCCTGAGTGCTGGGATTAAATGGATGTACCACCATACCTGAACCTTTTTAAAAAACAGATCTTTGGCTCTTCCCTTTACACAGAAAAGCCAACCAATAGTCAAAGGGAATAGAATTTGCCATTATTTAGGTCTGGCTCCATCTCTGTGCTCACGCTGTTCCAGGAAGCTTCCTCATCTAGCACTCCATTTCACCCACGAATTCCATCAGATACTGTCAGGAGGGGGAAACTGTGGTTGACACTTTCTGTACTCGCTGTCAACATGTTCATGTCGAGAACGCCCATTCACTCAGGACTTCATCTGCTCCCCACAGAAGAGCAAG